TTGAGATAATGTGCAAGAAACCTTGATTAAATTTTATTGTCTGAATATTTGCATTCATATATGTGGCTGACAATCTTTTTATTAACGACGTGAATAAATTTAAGATCTATAGGTCGTGAGTGAATATTCTAATACATGCTAATACATACTTAAGAGAAGACCTAAAAAGGTTACCGTGCACGGATGTTAAATGGACGTGACAGTAAGTTATAACAGAGACCGTGAACGAATGTTAAAAAAGGTATTTCAGTGACTCTGATTGAATATATTGATTTATATAAGAAACGATGAGCGACCAGCATGAATCCTGATCAGACTGCGCGGATGCGCAGGCTGGTCTGGATCCATGCTGGTCGCAAACGCATTATGTTGGTTTTGTCATGACACGGCTCAAATGTTTACGTTTTAACATGACAAAAAATGAATATTATTTACAAAAATGAACCAATCATGCAATATGCATTATATCTTCAGTACAATAATTGAAATTTAATCAATATTTCAATTGTGTGGTAACCATTAATCAATGTATGTTTTAAAATCATATTTCAGATAATAAAATATTTAACATGGTATCATATTTACAGCTGCCATTAAAATCAATTTAGTACAATTTAAAGGTTCATTTTTTTTTCTCAGCCCTAAAAATTCTAAATCAATATGCAATTAACTGTTAACAAATCAAATGAGTTGTTGTTTTTCTGACTTACACTTTAGACTTTCAACATACTAAATGAGCCGTGCCATGGCAAAACCAACATAATGGGTTTGCGACCAGCATGGATCCAGACCAGCCTGCGCGTCCGCGCAGTCTGATCAGGATCCATGCTGTGCGCTTACAAACCCTATAACAAGTAGAGAAACTGATATCGAACAGCATGGATCCTGATCAGACTGCGCGGATGCGCAGGCTGGTCTGGATCCATGCTGGTCGCAAACGCACTAAGTTTTTTTTTGTTGTGACGCGGCTCAAATGTTTTAAAAATCTGAAAAAGGGAGATCCCTCGAAAGCAATGTAAATAAACAAAATTTTATGAAAATTTCAGACTCAGTTTAATTTAGTCTGTTCATGAGTTATAATGCAAACCATATTACATTCATAGCTATTCATACAGATCTAACTGAACAATAAGATAATTATAAGAATAATTTTAACAAATGTATATCTTGCATTTGTTATTCGGCGAAGACATTTATGGAATGTTGGAGGTCTGTCACGGGAGAGACATGAAGGTGAGTCGACATTATTTGACACAAAGTATGTGTATCAAACAGAAAAACAAGTAGAGATTTTGATGCTAAAGCATCAAGTCGCCGGATAGAAAAAATGATTGTATTATCATAAATATAAGAAAATATAAGTTTAATGGTTCAAGTATAAAAATAAGAGGAACAATCAGTTGAGTAATGTTTGTCACTGAGGCTTGTAAGGCAAGTGCTATGCTGGTAATTCTTTATACATTATACATAATTATACTGTTGTACCATATATTGAAATTCGTATAGGTTACTAGTTCAGATTCAGATAATTACCGACAAATAATTACCGATCATCGAATATTTGCAAAGTGACTATGAAAATATATATGTTTAATTATTTCATGAAACAATACAATTTTACTGTAAAAGTGTTGTACATCATTATTATGTGCTATAGAAAAAATATATAATTTAGTTGAAATCAATACATGTATTCCCATCGTTACATACGATATATAGAGGATATTTGTTTGTTTTGCATGTAAGATTGAAATATAATTTCACTGAGTGAACACCAGATGCAATATTTTCACGAGTGGCGTAGCCACGAGTGAAAATATAATAGCTGGTGTTCACGAATGAAATATATTTCAATCTTATATGTAAAACAAATAAATTTTCTTTTTATTTCATGCTTTTTAAGTGATTTTAAGTATTTTTTACTGATTTTGCCGCGTAACGTCGCGCATTCTCCTTTGTGACGTCATCACATCATGACGTCACATTATCAAGCTTGAAAAATAGTTCTGTTAAATTTCTCTCATTTTGTTACATTTTTAATATGATGTATGGTGACATCGACTTTCTTTTCCTAAAGAAGCAAAATTTACGCATGACAGCATTTATTTCTGTCTGTTATTCCATTTAGTTATGATTTTCTTTTCATCCTCATTTAGATATAGTCCGGCTACAGTGAAAATTATATTTTATAAATTTCACTAGTGGTTTATCAGAATATAATCATCTGAGATATTCCAATAAAACACTGGAAAGCATGAAATAAATAAAATTAACGTTTAATTGCCTTTCAGTGCGATAAACTATCAACACAAAGATAGTTTATTATTTTTTTCTATGTATCTAATACGATTCCGGACCCCTAACGTCATACCGTTTTGGAAACCTGCGTGACGGAAACCGACGGAATATACCGAAATCAACGATTACCATTATATATTTAAATAATGTGCCTCTTAAGCATAAAATTACTTTGGGATGTTCAACCTAAACTATTGAACTTTCTTGTCGAAAGTTTGACAGAAAGGGCCAAGTTTAACCCTTCACCAAGAAGAAAGGAAAAGGTTTTGAAAATTTATTTTTAAGGTATAAAATATGAGTAAACAGGTTTTTCTAATGATATAAAGTATGAAACTGATTAATGAAAAATAACTTATGTAATTATCTGTACAAAATAACAATGATTTGCATCTTATCAGCTACCACACCTTTTGCCAACCATTAACAAGTTACCTGTATGTCTTATCAGCAATCTGTTACTATTAATAGATTTTATAGCGATATACAACATATATAAACTCGTGATTCTTACGAAAGACCAGGGAGAATTTGTTTATAATTAGATAAAATAATGTAATATAATAGGTCTCATAAAATATAAACAACCAAATAATTTTAAAGTGTCATTTCAAATATCATTCATGATTCATATAAAAAAATATTATAAAATAGCAATGCTTGACACATAGAAAAAGTAAAAGTATCCCTAATATTCAATGACTGATCCTTGGGGATACGTTATTGATTCATTTTATGAAAATTGTAATGTTGCTTTTTAAGATGTCAATATGTGCATATTTCATTTCACTGAGCAAAGTTATCATATGTTTGAATTTTTGAGATTACTGAAAAATAATTGTTGTCTTTAATTGTTCAATGATTGATATGCTTTTATTTTCAGATTTTAAGGGCTTCTCCTACCATAGGTATAATAATATGATTAATAAACCAAAAGTAAGTGTAACTTTATTTAATGAAGATATGCCATTTGAGAAATTTGTTATCTTTACTGTAGTTGAGGATTTATTTATTTATTTATTTTATTTAATCATTTTATTAATTTGTTTTTTGTTTTTGATTTTCTTTTGTTTGAAATTCTATGTTTAAAGGTTCCTTTATTAGCTCAGCGTTATCTTCTATGACGGATTTCACAACAACCGTTCGTTCAAATTTAGTTCTTTGTACGTAATTAACGAGACAATACTTTAATTCTTGTATATCTGAATTAAAAACTGTTTAAATGTTGAATAAAATACATTCAAACTAATGATTAATGGCTAACTTATTGTTTATATCTCTTGTATCTATATCTACAGTTGCTATTGAGATATGCCGATAACTTTTTGTTTGACTAAATATCATGTTCCCATTACACCAAGGCTAACTGATAAATATCATAAAAAGTAGTGACACGGTATGAGCTCAATCGTCCAGTTGAACAGAACCTTTGAAAGACTTTGAATAAAACTATATCAAATTTCAGATGTTAACAATGAAAATATGATTTAGTCAATACTCAAATTTTTGTATTAAACTATTCAATGAAATTCGCAATAGATAAAATAGTCTATATAGCTTTTCAAGATATAATGAGCTTTTCAAGATATAATGAGAGTTCCTTGTTCACAATAGCATAATTATCTCTTTCTTGTATGTTAGCAATATAATTTACGAAATACGAGTCATGTTACACTCGCCATATAATTTATAAATTCCAATCCTTACAGCCATGAAATTAATTGGGTCTAGTTTTTGTTTTTTGTTTTGTCTGTTTGTTTGTTTGTTTGTTTGTATTTGAATTTACTTTTGAACTATTATTTTTATCACATTTTCATTACTGTAAGTAATTTATTGAAGAACTTATACAAAAGGCATGATACATGCGATTGTGTAAACATTTAACAAACTGCATTTGCAAATATATACAGACTTAAGATGTGCTCACTGGAAAATGACTTATACTCAATTCAATAATAAAGGTTTCATTATAACAAGTTCAAGCCCATTAATGATACCTTTTTAGGGCAACATTAAGTTTATGTAATAGAAAGAGGATCGAAACACGAGGTTATCTAATTACATATTATATGCAAATATAAAAACACTTTTCCTCTTGTCCAGAAAGAAGTAACAAATGTAGAAGCATCTGAATATGACTTTTCTATCGTTATCGCTTTCCCTGTCACCACAATAAGTAAATCCCAGAAAAAAATGAACCAATGAACGAGCATGCATGCTCTATTTTATTCCCGACAGACAGTGCGGTAACTGGAGTGCAGGTAACTAATACAAGCACTCCAGTTAACGCACTGTGCATGTATGAGTGCACCATTTGACTCTGGCACATTTTCAAAAGAAAAGTCTCCATACAATGATACAAAAGTTTAGTTAATCAGATAATAGTGAGAAGCTCCCATTATGCATACTGACTTCAACAAGACACCAGTAAATTTTCAAAAGGTGGCTGCCAAAAGGTCATACTAATTATTTTTCATCGACCTGTGACAAGTTCAAACCCAGTTAAAGCTGTACTTAAAGATGCCTTTACCATTTACGTCACAAGTTTGATATATAGAGAGATATCACATTAAACAAATTAAATGTCATTTAGAACATGCGTGAAGATACGATGTGTGGTATATTTCCAAACATAATATGTCGTCTGCTGCGTGTACATATAGAAAAAATAGTATGATATCATTACAATTTAGAATACAATTTACCTCATTATAAAGCCAAGCACTGGTTACACATACATTTGTAAAAATCCAGCCAGCACGAACTGTAAATTAATGATACAAAATTCACATTTAAGATTCATCATTATTGAGATAGCAGCACGTGAATTCGTTACAATGACATCCAGACAGCTGATCGATATATGCATATCAGGAATACCAATACTCGGAGAGCTATGATAGCAGTAATAGAAGCTGAATTATAACGATTCAATATCGGAAAAAAAAGATAATTATCAACAGCATCGTATGTGAGTATCGTATATCCTTGAGTTCAATTTATTTCATTTATTTTTTAATGATGTAATTGTTTCATATTGTGTTTATCACTTCTTATTGTCAATTGTAATATGTATATACTTATTTTGCTTTCTTCGTTTTATGCTAGTTATAATTAGCTATCTTAGTGAATAATGGATCAATATTAGACCTGTAAACAATTATTTATACCTAATATTGTGTTCAAAAGAGTAATTGTATTCTCGTCTCATGTGGGCATCAGATAATTAGAAAATAATTCCTTTACTTTGATAACAAAAAGTATTTCACTAAGTAAAGTTAATAACGTGCAAGTTCAAAATGATCTTTTCGGATCAAGATAACGGTGGCTTTTTTAACATTTCAGTTAAAAAGGAAAAAACAACAGATTTAAACATGAAATGCGAAAATTTTGTAACATATGAACGCACATGAAACATCATACCTTGTATTCATTTACATACATATATAAATGTTCCCAATTTTAGTATCATATACTGATGCAAACTGTCTATCTTATTTTATTTATATATATTTTGCACACCTTTAACGAAAAATGAATCGACTAATGATTATTTGCAATAAACCATATTGGTAAGGATATGTTTGAATTAAAGATAAACAAAAAGTGTGGTTTTTTATTGTGTAACAGTGTATTCTATAAGCTTATATTAAATTTAGCCAGTACGGTTCTCTAAGCCTCTCATGCAGAAATACAAAATCGATATTATCTTTTTGTCAGGATACTGTTTGTTTCCTATTTTAATACATCTTGGTCATGTTTTGCGATCGACGCACCTAGTTAGCTTTACAAGGTAACAACCCGTGATACTGTTATTATTTCTACTACTAATCCCACATGATTTCTAAATCATCGATTAGAGACAACTGACCGTTAGCTTCAAAGTCCAGGAAAAAAGTCACGTAGAAATTTCGAAGAAGACGAAAATGGAAAAGAATTGTATATGTTAAAAGAGTTATGTATCAACATAGCTTTAAAATATTCCATCACAGGTTTGGTTTTAATAAAACATGTATATCATTTAATTAACATTTGTTTCAGTTCAGCAATACAACACATTTTGAAGAACATGCTCAAATGTATGTAGTTAAAAAATTAGTACTGTTTAAATGGTGGTATTTGAAACAACGTTAACGCCCAAAATAAGAATGCTCCCCTTGTGACTGAGGGGTTGAAACTGCGGCCACCATTAATGGGTTCGAATTACTAGAGTCTATGCATCTCTTAGCTCCAGCAGGTAAGGTGGTTTTGACTCCTGGTGTTGCTTTTAACTGTTTGTAACACCTGATGTTAGCCAAAAATCATTTTTCCTCTTTCAGCGCAATGTGATCTAAATTGTGTTCGTGCGCCGTGAAACCAAAATGTAAAAAAAAAGAATAAATATGCGACAAATTTGGTATGTGAATCAACTTAGGAAGATTCCTTTAAACAATATCATTGTTGACTTTAGCTTAGGAGACTTCAGCGAACATGGTTTATACTGTCGCACAACGTCAAAATAAAAAGCTACATTTAAAGTTATGGAAGCCAGAACTATGTTGACATAAGAACGTCTGCTATGAACAAGTCTTTGGAGACAGACAAAAACCTCCTAAAACAAGGTCCAGTGAAGTCAACCTGACATTTGACTTACAACAAAGGCATGGTTACTATAAATAAAGTGTTAATTACGATAATACAAAAATATTAACAAAGACTTTCGTATATTCTCAGTATGCCCATATTTCAAAAAACATTCAAACTGAATGGCAAAGATACCAGACAAAACTATCAATGTACAATAAAGCATAACATTGACTTTTCTAGTTGTTGACCTGGCGTTTGCGCATGATTGATATTCACTACGTTCAGCAATATTATAATGCATAGTTATTTCAAAACTCTCCCTGTCAGAATGATAGAAATGATGACTGGACACGACCATCAATGCATTATACAATATACAAAAAAAAACACATTGCTTATTTGTCATATAAAAGGGTGTGTAAATGTCTGCGCAGCGGACACATTACCAGCAGAAAGTATACGATGCCAAGCGCCATACCACTATCCGGAAGAACATAAAGTAGCTAGGGAACTCGTGTTACAAACCAGCCAATGGCAAGATCAGACCCAAACGGCAGATTCGGGAGGGTGTGAAGGGGAGAGTCAGAAGTAAAATAGGGATTTGGGAAAAGGAGGAGAGGAAACGGCGAGATAGAAAGGAAATAAGAAGAGCAAATAATGAAGTCTCAGAATAATAATACGTTAGAGCAGTTGAGTTGAGTCGGATGTAAGGGATATCGATTTTAGATTTGTATTTGTTCTTGTTTATTGAATTAAATTTGATTATTATTAAACAGGCTTGTATGTAAATAAAAAATAATCATATCAACAAAATTAGTTTTTCTTGATCTTTTACAAAACATTTTATTTCTCTATAACTGATTACATGATTCCATGCTGCTGCTTGACAATCTATTCAAGATAATTTATATGATAGACGATTGTATTTGGTTGTAGTTTAAAAATGATTCCTCCAAAATTATTAAAATGGGTCTATTTCATGCTTAGATTCCTCTAAAACACAGTTTTGACACATCTTCAACATCGAATAGAATGCCCTCCATAGCTAAGGAATCTAAATACTAAAAACCTGAAGATGCAATCCTAGAGCAGGGAAAACTATGTCTAGTTGCGTATTTATAAAACAAAAGGCAAGAATTCTTGCTCGAGTCTAAGCATCTTTTCATCAAACATACAAATCAGGCTTGCGAAAAATTGGAGAAATATAGATTAGAGTTGCAGATGCATGCGCTAATTAATAGGTGATAAGTGTCTCTGTTGAATGGTGCTTACTTTATGCAAACAAAAACATCAAGCATGCACTGATAGCTTCCCCATAAATCTTCAACATATGAATGACAGATGCAGTTACAGAACAGTAAAGAAAATAAAGTTACAGAATATCACTTTGTACAAAAGGAGGCAATTAATCAATCACTTCTAGAATAGTATCTGGTAATTCCGAAGATAAATTGAAAATTAAGAGTCAACTTGACTATAATTATGTTATATGAAAAACAAACAAAAAACCGATCTTTTTCAAACGGCCATTTCCCATGGATCAACTAAAGTAGTTTCAGAAGATGAAATCGTGCCTCAATATAAGCTTAAGAGTTCTGACAGAAATTCAGAGATATTAATTACTAAGTGCGGAGAAAAGCCAAAGAAGATCATGAAAATATTTTGAATGCATTCTTAAGAAAAATATCAAAACTCTTACTTAAAGGGCACACTATTATGATTTTTTTACGCTACGCAATCAATTAACAAGGTTCTTTGTCCTACTCCTAGACAGTAACATCAATTTTATTCAAAATTAGACGCTACTGGTCATTCTTTAGACAAACATCTTCTACTCCCTATATGTTGAAATTATTGAGTGAAAAATAGAATCGCATCAACCCATATTTTAGGTCTTATTCAAAAAATCCTACAAAGAGTGGTTTCTCCGCTCTCACGGAAGTCAGCTTATGTTGCATCTTTTATAAGAAAGGCGACATGTGTGTAGATGAAAGAGATCATATGATACTTAATGGTCTATTATTATTATGTTGGTATCTTGTTACTGTTTCCCAAAAATACTCATTTGCCATATACACGATCAGTCTTTTAGTTCTTTTTCTCTGTTCTCTGGCAATTGGTTAAATCATAGAGAACTTGTATTTGTTAGTGAAAATACTACTTTGTTTTCATGTTGGTATCTCTACGACACATAACAGCACGTTCAGCACTACTTCCGTCAGTTGCTATAATCTAGCATGCTCTTGGTCCATTTTTAAAACATAAAACACATGTTTGGCATTTTAAGAATTTGCAAAATATATATTAAAATGTGCTTTAAATGGCATATCAACGGGGGCTAAACCCGTCCCCTCCGGTGTAGCACTGGGATCTGTCAATCGACCAACATTGTTACTTGCCTTTATATATGACTTCCATTATACCCGGTTATATAAACTCAACAGTCCTCGATTAAGTAGGTGACACTCCAGTATGCCTAACAACTCACCCATCAGGCCAATCCATGACCTTAAAATTGCATCCACAATAATAATTGGAATTTGATTCGCACCACATTGTCAATGTCACACAAAAGAAACATTATGCTTGGCTTCTATCGTAGAATCATAAAGATAAAATCTAAACCTCTTCAGACCAGTGCACATTATTACATTCTAAAACGTTCCTAACTCGAATACATTTCCTAGATCTGGTTACCCGGCCTATACATAAGTTTTTGATATAAAATCGAATGAGCTCGGATGGTAGCTTGCTTTTATCACTACCGACCATGAACAGTCTAGAGCTACCTATCTGTGCAAGTAACATTTTGGCGTTTTTTACTATCTTCATGGATCATGTTTTATTCTTCTTTTTATACTGGCAAAGGAAGTAATTTTAAACGTTGTTAAAGTTTTAAATTGAATTTAAATGCTACCAGCCGCTACCACTCAAACTAAAGTTTTACCTGCTTTTAAACTTGCTTTGCGTTACTACGTACATTCCTGATGATTGTACTGGTGTTATTTTTTTCACTATGCTTTGCTATACACTCAGAGGCACTTATAACCCGACACCTACATTTTTCTGCATAAATAGGTTATTTGTGGACGGATCTCGTTCAAATTCGGACCATATAAAATTCAACATATCATACTTACTACTTAAAATTATATTTACAATTAATCGATAAGAAAATAGAGAAAATAACAAAACAAATATGCTACTGCAAAATTAAAAATCACAGATTGGCTGTAAATATCGTAACATAATGAACAGTCTCTGCATCCCACTAGCAGTTCTAATATTTTGTATGTACTCCCAATTGGCTACAACAATGTAAACACCTCTGTCTCATAGTTCTACATTCCTGAACAAGGGCTTGCTCGAATTCCGGCAACTTGCGAGGGGCTTCTGGTCGCTTTCTCCCACGCCTGTTCAATTCAGCCGACAAGTGTGATGTTGCTGGAACTCGAGTAAGCTCTTATTCAGGAATGGAGAAATATATTCCCCAAGCTTTCATGAGAAACTTCGTGATTTCCACGAGACAGGTGTTTACACGTTGTTTTAGCCAATTTGGAGGACATACAAAGTATTAGAACTGGTTAACATACAGATTTAGTGGGATTAAGAGACTTTTCATTTTTTTACAATATTTACAGCCATTCTGTGATTTTTCATTTTTCAGTAGCATATTTGTTTTGTTATTTTCTCTACATTCTTGTCAATGAATTGTAAATAAAATTCTAGGTAGTAAGTATGATATGTTGAAGTATCTATGTTTCAAAGTTAAACAAAATGCGTTCACAAATAAACAATTTATATCAAAAAATGTAATTAAGTGTCGGGTGCCATGTATGCATTGTGCAAAAATAAATCTTATCTCACATTATATACCAGACAATAAATTATACTGATTCACTTTTTCATATATGATACATAAAAGTGAACAATTCTATAGAAAATACGACTAAAAGAGTAAATATTTTTAAAAAAAAACAACAACTTACTCACGGCAGAAATCCTACTGTACGAATGTGCTCATCACATAGCAATCTTGATCTATGTAGCAACGGGAAACCTAAATTATTCTTAAGCTTGGAAATTTCCAAAATGTAGCTATATATAGCCATTACAATGTGGAAATTCCGAATACATGTATTAAAATAGAAACAGGTCAGTGTAATTCCCCTTTCAAAACCAAAAATGATTTGTTTAGCGAGCCATTTCACACAATCAATTATTTTTTTCTATTATGTCAACGACATGGGTAATTAAACTTGAATTCAATCGATATCTAATACTACATGTACTACAGTTTGTGCAAATCGACATGATCTTCCAGGTCCCTTTTCTATATCAAATGAGCTATAGTACAATCCTTACATCCCTCGAGAGCGATGAAAACAAAGTTTAAAAGTTAAAATTGCACACTCGGATTGATTAAGTCCGTACATGTAATAGATTTATATAATGGACAGGAAATTGCAACAAACAAACTTCCCGGCTTTGGCAATATTCACTTGAACACAATATAGAATTAAAAAGGACAACATTAAACACATTAAGTACGGGGTAATTTTTACATCTGCCGCATGTTGTGAGTATAAAATTCTGAAAAAGGAGGAAGATCACTCGAACGCAACGAAATCCAAGTAAATGTATGTAAAAATCGCAGTCTATGTTTGATTAATTCTGTTCACAAGACAAGATAGAAAGTGCAACATCTCTCACGCCCCTAGGCATCGAATCTTTACCACAATAAAGCATTGGAATCAATGACCTCGGAGGTCATTGCTCATTAGGACCAGAAAAAAGAAAATTGTTATGGCTCCGCCACATAATTTGGATGTCCGTGGCCAAGTGGTTAAGGTCGTTGAATTCAAATCATTTGCCCCTCATCGCTGTTAGCTCGAGTCCTAACAGGGACTAACATGTGAGAAAGATATCAAGTTAATTTACTAAATAGCAATGGTTTCTACTCTGGTGCCCGCTCGTGACGGAAATAATGAACGAAGGGTCACATGAGGTCGAAGATCTTTCCTCCACCAGTAAAGCTGACTTTTACAGCGTTTGTGCGACATAAAATCCAACAAAAATTGATGAAGTTATAGTCATTGCATTATTCGACGCCTTCGTGTCAACACTTGCTGGAGTAAATGCTCGCCTTTGCAATTTGAGATGAAAAATGATAATCACTATTGGAGAAACAAGAAATATCTTCAAAAAAAGATACTCGGCCGAACTAAAACTGGTTTATTTGCATATCGTATTTTAGGAAACATGAAAAAGAATCATAAGAATTATGATGTTGAACTTAGTCAAATTTTTGAAATATTAAAATCATATGCATATGTTGGCAAATACAAAGTATTTTAATAAAAACAAAATCTTAAGTCTGAACTAAATCCTTAAAAAGTAAAAAAGAAGTAAATAAGAACTACAAACAAAGCAATTTATTTTGTACTCATTTTTTTGTAATTCTATTATTTCTATTATTGCGAAATTTCATGCGTATGAGTAAACGGGAAAGTGGATGAAGTTGAAAGTGGTGGTTTTCAAAATGTATAACTCGATCGTGAAAACAG